CCCTAAGGTTAGGTTCACATCTCCGCGTTCCTGAGGTCCGCGTTTTGCACGGGCACGAGAGCCCATTCATTTTAATGGGATCCTGTGCCCCGAGACACACAGGTCAGAAGTCCCTGCACTTCTTCGGAAAACACAGCCCACACGGGAACCTCGGTTCCCAGTACAGTTGCAATTTGCATTAGAATTAATGGCACCTGCCTGCGGATCCACATTCCTCTGTGTGGGTAGTGCAGCTTCATGGACTTTTGTGCAGATCTGCAGCGGCACACCCGCACATATGTGAACCTAGCCTAAAACCAGATGGAACATGTAACATGTTCCAAAGAAGAAGTAAACCCGCTTATAAGGATAACCAAACTACCTGGACAAGTGCTCTGCAGACTTAAAGCAGAGTTCCACCCATGTTCCTTGCGACACAATGCTCACCCACAGAACAGTTTGCAATGGCAATTATTTTAATTTTTTATATAAATATAGCACGAATTGTTGTGTTGCTTTCTCCTCACCTGCTTTAACCCCTTGGACCCCACATAAGCATGCAGTTGCGGTGCGCTTGCAGAGTAGCCCCATTTACTTGAATGGGTCACGATTGGCAGGCAGTAGCACCCACCAAAACAACAGGGGTTTAATTCCTGCTGCAGCATGTGTACACCTGTGTAGTACATGTGCAAACCGCATGGTTTTACCACCCCCCCAACTTTACGTGTGAACGAGCAGTAAGGGTGCAGCTGCCGAATGCAACTAAGGGCTCATTCACATGTGCAGCAGGCATTGTTGCTCCTCTGAAAAGCGATCCAACTGTGTTTGACAGGTGGTGAGGAGGTGATATATTGCCTCCTCACTACCTGATTTAAACCCATGGTTGCTGTGCAATGCACATGATTGCAACATGGTACTATGAAAATTAGAGGTTTAACCCCTTCACACCTAAGAGTAAAAAAAATATAAATGCCTAAGCACAATTTTCAAAACGTTGACATGTGTTAGCAAAACCATACATAGCATCACAACTACTTTGTACATCCAGGTGAATTATACCTTGTTATTTTCAGGACAAATTGGGCTTTCATTTGGTGGTAAATGGTAATGGATATCTCCTGATTTTTTTTTTATTATCAAAGGAAAACTGCTCCAAAATAATAAAAAAAAAAAATTTATTTTTTATTTAGCTGTGTGTTTCTTGTTACGACCATAACCTACCACCAAAGAACAACCCAAAATAAATTCTCCAGCTCTTGTCGATTGCAGCAATACCATATATGTGTATGTTATTTGTTGTTTGTACCAGTAGTACAGCCCAGAAACACTAGTGCACATTTTGTTTTTGTTTTTTTTTACCTAAAACACACACTGACACCAATACAAAATGTTTGTTTTAAATCCTGACCTTAGACCCTGACCCCCTGACCTTGACCAAACCACTAACCCTGGCACTGAACTAGAACAAACCTTGATCTAGGTATTTTTATATTTATTTTTTTTTTTTTTTTTTTAACAAAATAATTTTTTTTCTCTATGCCAGGAGTTAGAGAGATACAATGTATCTCTCTCCTCCATTCACAGAGAGAGAGAAAAAAACAAGGGGGCCAGGCTGTACAGTGACTGATCACTGTGATAGCCAACCAGAGGCTATCACAGCGATCATGTGACCAGGGGCGGACTGACAACTCATGGGGCCCCCCGGGCAATAGGGGATCATGGGGCCCCTGTGTCCTTGCCCAAACTCAAAAAAGCCTATGAAAAAGGTACCAGAGGCATCTCATGGGGCCCCCTACTGACCCCGGGCCCTTGGGCAGTGCCCGAGTTTCCAAATGGTTAGTCCGCCCCTGCATGTGACCCTGAATCTGGAGTCCTGGGTCTCAATCGTTAGCATTAGAACGGGACCCGGTGCTCTCAGTGACACCGCGGTCATTGTGCTGGGAGCACGTCGTGCTGCGCGCTCCCAGCAGAAAGACAGGTATGCAAATATGCGGCCCCATGGAAAAAAGCCCAGTTCTGTGAGGCTGCATATTTGTGTTACGTCGGCATCAGGCGGTTAAATAACATATGAGGAGGCCACACTGGAAGACACTGTGCCCAGTGATCTTTCACTTCTCCATGTTGGTTGGGTAAATGGTCACCTCTTTAAGGCTGCCTACCCTTTAGACCATATAATCCCAGGTCTTTTTTTTGTTTGGGGAAACCCTTTGGAGGCTGACATTTGCATGGGAGGTATACTGACTTGCTTTATTACTGTAAGTATGGGCAAACTATTTTTACAGTGGAAGAAAAAGTGGAAAAATATAAAGTATATATATATATATATATATATATATATATATATTTTAAAAAGATCTATCTTATGTTATTTTGTTTTATGTTTTTTTTTGTAGACCTGAGGATTGGTCTGTGGTACTTCAGGTAAACCTTTATATTATGAACATCTTTCTATCAAGCATGTCTAATACATATGGTAAGATTTTTTTTATTATTTTTTATTTTTATTTAATAATTTTAATTATATCCAGTCATACCTTGTATATATTACATATTGGGTTTTTTTTTAGAAATATTTATATACAGGCTTTTGTCACAGGTGGTTGTCTCTATTAGTTGGCTGCAGATATTTTCTGTGGTCCCTTGTGTGCCCCCCTGGTGGGTACTGCAGATCTTTTGGCGTTTGCAGGCCTAGAGTAATGGCATGTATTTTGAAAATGTTCCAATTTATACCTGTTGGTGATGTATTGAAGATGTACGTGGTTGGAATTATGTACAGGAGGATGCCTTAATACATATCATGTACTTGTTTCTTGATTTATTATATGTAATCTCTCCCTAGATTCAGATACCTTTTTGCAAAAAGTTAATTGAAATGCATTGGGGATCCCTTGGCAGAAAATAAATAAATGTTTGCACAAGTCACTCTGTAGGGATACTGTAATGTATCAAACTCACCTTCGAGCAGCTGTGTCAGAAAATTTGTTTTTTATATGATATGTTCCTTTTGTATGAATAAAATACATTCATTTTACGTAAACTCCCTTTTTTGTTGCTGTGTATAAATCTTATGCGAGAAAACAGAATTGCTAATATATGATGCGTTCTTTCATAAATATATGAATATCATACAGAAAGTTAGCCATTTGGGGTGCTGCCTAATATTTATTTTTAGATCTCATTGTTCCCAGCAGTGACCAACATAGATCTCGGTGTCTCCAGCAGTGACCAGTGCAGATCTCAGTACCCCCAGCAGTGGCCAGAACAGATCTCAGTGTCCCCGGCAGGGACCAGTATAGATCTAAATGCCCCCAGCAGTGATCGGTTCAAATCTAAGTGTCCTCAGAAGAGCCCAGTATAAATCTCAGTGTCCTGAGCAGTGGCTGGCACAGATTTTAGTGCCCCCAGCAGTGACCAATGCAGATCCAAGTGCATCCAGGAAGAACCAATACAGATCCTAGTGCCCCCAGCAAGGACCAATACAGACCCTAGTGCCCCCAAGGAAGGACCAATACAGATCCTAGTGCCCCCAGCAAGGACCAATACAGATCCTAGTGCACCCAAGCAAGGACCAATACAGATCCTAGTGCCCCCAGCAAGGACCAGTACAGATCCTAGTGCCCCCCAGCAGTGACCAATTCAGATCCTAGCACTCCCAGCAGTGACCAGTACAGATTTCAGTGCTCCAAGCAACGACCATTACAGATTATTGTGCCTCAGCAGTGACCAGCAGGATCAATCTCTAAAATGCTAAAGAAAAGAACGCACTGGGACTGGAGAGGTTATATGGGAAAAGGGATTAAGTAGTTAATATAATGAGCAGTTTGTTTGCCATCTTCAGTGTTTGCTAAAATGATTTATTCGTTGTAGTTTTTTATTATATTCATAAAAATATATAATGAACAACCTTTATGGCTACTTGTCAGATCATTGTACATGGATCCATTTTGTTATCTAGATAAAGTCACTCAAAATCATGCTCCATAAAGTATGTAATATTGCTTTAATACAATAGTCAAACACGTTGCTATGTCCCACAATAGTTGAGGATGTAATATTTATTTGAAATTACAAAAAGTGTCCAAATCAGATGTTCCACATGTCCTTAGTGAAAGTGATTAGATGTTTAGTCAGGCTTGCCACATCTAACAATGTCATCTATCAGAGGGTAGCCAGCAGGCATCTGAATGGTCAGTGCCAGTGATATCAGGTCTGCCGAATGTGTCGGTCTTCACACAGTAAACAGAAATGATCTGTTTATATAATCCAGTAAGTGTAAAAGTAACAACTGCTGCAAAAGTGACCACAGAGCTCAATCTCAGTTCCGTGAAGACTGAGTCCAGTGAAGACTGAGATTGAGCTCTGCAGTCACTTTTGCAGCAGCTGGTTTCTTATTCCGGGTCACTATCCTGTGCAATGTCCTTTCGTCTCTTTTGGTCAGTTGACCATGTCAACCGCGCTTATGCATATCAGACGATATTTGTCCAGAAACTGTATATGCCGTCATAACCTTTGAAACTGTACCCTGTGACACCGCAAATAAATTGGCACAGAGGCACCAGCTAAGTGGCACCAACAATTTTCCCTCTTTGAAGCTCAGTAAGTTCTGACATGACTACCATACTACTAGCAGCACATGCAGTGAATGATGAAAGTGAGGCTTCCCAGCTGTTAGCTAGGTGTCTCATCACACATGTAGTGTTTCCATTTTTTTTTGTCTAATCCTTGTTGTTAGGCTTGCCAAATCAAACAGTTCAGATGATGACGAAAAAGAAAAATGAGCTGCTGAGGTCAGTAGTTAGCTTAAAAATTAAAGTGTTCCTAAACCCAGGACCCTGAATCCACTATATCTGGTCTCCCCCAGTGCACATAACATGGAAATGCAATTAATTTAGTAAATATAAACTGCTAAATTCCTCTTCTCATCAGTGGTTAGAGCAGTCTTGTGACTTCTATCAATGTCTGACTGAGCACGTGTTAAAGCTTGTAGGAGGAGTTTTAATTTTCCCCTGATTGTCCTATGAGGTTACAGGACCCCTGACCCTCTGTCTGGACAGTGCTGATTGGCCCTGTGCTGATCACGTGCACCCTCTCAAAGAAAAAAAAACTCCCTAGCAATACACACCAAACGGAGCATGTGCAGAGTGAGTCCACACAATATATTTTATCAGGAGATAAGAGGGGGAACCTGAAAGAAGAGGAGGATCAGAGAAGTCACCCTCTCAAAGAAAAAAAAAAACCCTCTAGCAATACACACTAAACTGAGCATGTGTAGCTTGCCCCCAAGGCTCTGCTCTATCAGCAGATGGATTGGGGGTGGAAGAAGGGGAGGATCAGAGAAGACAGGATAAAACATCCTTTTTACACAATGTGGAGGATTAACCCCTTAGGTTCCACGGTGAGTATATCAAGCATGCTTTACAGCATATACAGACTGATTTTACTGTTGTGGGTTTAGTAACACTTTAATGTTAAAAGTTAAAATTGTCTGCATTGAGGTACCCCTCTTCCCTTGCAATTTCCATCTTTATCACTAGTGTTGTACAATGTTCTGCATTTATACCCCTGACTGGTAATATTTTTGGAGATTCTACCTGGGAGGTATTTGTTTATCCCCAAATTCCATAAAAAAATTATTTTATTTTTGAGAACCTGATAGCTTTTCCTTTTTCAGTTGTATTATTTTTTACATAAAAACAAAATTGCACTTTAAGGTTTTTGAAAGCCTGTGTGTGCTCCTGTAGTATACAAAGATGCAGAAAATAATTAATACATGCAAAATGCTAAAACAATATTAATTCCTTGGCTTTTTCAAGCTTTGCGGCTGATTAATCTACTTAAGCTTTTATAAACATTTTATGTTAATTACCACTTCTAGTAAATCAGAGAACAGGTCTCTCTGGAGCACAATGTTCTCTTATCTGCCCTCAACACTGCTTCCATTAGGCAAGTATTTCTAGGTGAAAAATCCAGGGGAAAGCTTGAAGGCAGAAAAAAATAAATATGGAAATAAGTTTGTTGTTGATGTCAGATCTGATACTTTTGGGGCTACATTTTTATAAAACAGACCAATCCTGTCCAAGAGGATCTTTGAAGAGTGTCCAGGCTCTCTGACATGGGACTGGCTAAAAGCAACAGCTGTGTATCAAGGTGACCAGCAGCAATGCTTTAAATGGTAACACGACCTAGTAATGCTGTCTTAGTCTATATAAAATAGGTCAGTTTGGCATTTTTTAAGGTGCAATCATTTTAACGAGGTTGGAACAGATACTATAAAAAGATGTAATAAATGAGACCCTAACCAAGAACAACTATTGGGTCTTTAAGGGTACCAAACCGTAGGAATCAACACTGGTTATATAAAATAATATAAAGACAATTAGTAAAAATTGAACACCTTTTCTTAGGTTAAGAAACCACCAACAGGTGGAACATGACCGTCAAACACATACATAGAAGATCATAAAATTCAAGTAATGAAAAGGACAGAACTACAAACAGTAGCCCAGCCACGGTATTTGCCACTGATGTCCAAGACGGAGGAAGGGCGTCATGGGCATCAGCTACAAATCACCAGTAGCTACAACCTCAAAACATGAAGGCTTAATTGTAAGTAACACCTAAACCAATGGTGTCGCATCATAGGTAACAATAGACATAATGGTACACAGCTTCAGCCTAGAATCATGAATTGGTACTTAGTCAATATTTCGACACCTAGAAGGATGGTGTTGCATCATAGGTATCAATAGACATATTGGTACATAGCTTCAGCCTAGAACAGCAATGGGCAAACTACGTATACGGCCCGGCGGACCTTTTAATCCGGCCCGCGGAGCTAGGCAAGGCCAGTGGTCGGCAAGCCGCGGCTCTTTACAAATTTAGATGCGGCTCTCCTGTGTGCCGCCCGCTCCCCTCCCTTCTCCCCTCCTCTCCTCTCGGATGGCCGCCCCCCCTCTCGGATGGCCGCCCCCCTCCCTCCTCTCGGACGACGGGGCAGCCAGGAAGGCGGGGCAGGTGACGAACACAGTCCTCCCTGAAGACCAGAACGGCGCGGGAATACAAGGAACACCAAAGGTACAACTATATGGGGGACCTACTATATGATGAATTACTATAGGGGGGACTTACTATATGGGGAATGAATTACAATGTACTATATGGGGAATTAATTACTATATGGAGGACTTACCGGGGAATGAATTACTATATGGGGGACTTACTATATGGGGAATGAATTACTATATGAGGTAGGACTTACTATATGGGGAATGAATTACTAATGGAGGACTACTATATGGAGGACTTCATATGGGGAATGAATTACCTACTATATGGGGAATGAATTACATATGGAATGGTACTTATTACAAGTAGGAGGACTTACTATATGGGAACACCTAGAACTATATGGGGGATGAATTAATATGTATCATATGAATTACTATACATAGGGACTATATGGGGGATGGTACATATACTATGTTACTATAGGGGGGGATGAATTACTATGGGGGACGAATTACTATATGGGGGACGAATTACTATATAGGGGGACGAAATTACTATATGGGGATGAATAATTACTATGCTGAATTACTATATGGGGGGATGAATTAATTGGGGGACTGGGGGATAGTCAATTATTTGCGACACCTAGAAGGACTATACTTGTTACATCATAGGTATCAATAGACATATTGGTACATAGCTTCAGCCTAGAACCATGAATAAGTACTTTGTTGATATTTCCAACGCGTTTCACGGGACAATGCCCACTTCTTCAGGGAAACAATACACAAATTCCAGTTGATGACACTGACACCCTCCCAGATGGCCCATACAGGATATATAGGACATGTCAATCATATCTGGATGGAAAGAGGGCCTCCAACAATTAATGAAGAGTAATTGTCGGTCAAGAGGAGATATAAATCCACTTGTAAACAGCAGAAATGTCATTCACAATACTATATGACCAATAGGTGCTCCAAGATTGGGGTACCACAAGAGGCTAGAATTGTATCCCATCAATAGGGAAGGGGAGTGATATACCTTACCCCTATTCCCCCTGTGTAGTGGAGAGTAATTTTGTCTCCATCTCCCACTCTTTGTATATCCTATAAAAAGATGTACTGTATGTATTAGCAAATATGTGCATGCTCCGGAATGGGTTCAATTAGGCTTAATCGTTTTTGAACCTCGGAGTGATTCATCGGATCACAAAGAAAGACAGAGTGGAAGTGGACCACAAATAGGGTGAGGCAGAGAAGTGAGGGGCTAGGGAGAAATCAGTAGCTAATAATCAGTATCAGTTAGAGAAAAAGCAGAACATGAGCTGTTAATGGGGAAAGCAAGAGGAGGGAGACTAGCTGCTGACAAAAGCCAGCCATAGATGGAGAGATTTTCTTTCCCGCAGCCATTGTTGCAGGAAAGAAAATTGCTTGATTCCTCCATCAACACAGTCAGTGTTGATGGGGGAATCCCTCCCGAGCAACCAGTGTGTTCGCCCTACGGCGAGGGTGGGGAGAAGGGCGGATCTGCAGCCCCCGCCAGGATACCACAATGATACTGCTAGTGGCTATAATGGTCGCTAGCAAACATTGCATGTAAAATCAGACAGGTTGGCTGTATCCAAGTTCATTGATCGATCAACTTAGGTACCTTCAGCCTGCCTATACATGGTTTGAATCTTGGCTGGTCCCTGCTGGACCAGCCAAGATCTGAACCATCTATGACTAGTTTATGGAGCCAGAAAGTTAGAAAGATGAGGCAGAACTTCAGCTAATCAAAGACAAGAAGTAAAGATGAGGAAGAGTAGAAGCTGATCATAGAAAGGTGAAGGAGAGGCTGAGCAGCAGCTAATCCTTAGAGAGCAAAATATAATCATGGTTTGGAAAAACAAAGGCAGAGCAGGAACTGATTGTGCATGAGGAAGGCAGGATGGGAGCTGGTTGGGGCCTAGTAGTGGAGGGGAAAAGGAGTGGAGCTGACTGGAGCCCATTGGGAGAGTAGGCCGGATGAGTGTTGATCATGGCAAGTGGGGAGGAAGGTAGAGCAGGAGGTGATGGTGGTTAGGGGAGGGATATGAGATAACCATGTTTGAAGCACTGGAGGGAAAGCACAATGGAAGTTGTCTGTGACTGAGGTGAAGCAAAGTAGTAGGGGATAAGGGCTGTGGAGAGCTGAGGAGCAGGAAAATGCATGGTAGTGAAGCTTTAGGTTGCAACAATGACATTACACAGGAGGGACACACATGAAAAATAAAAGTTTATTTATACTTTCCATGAAAGTTCAGCCAGCACTTACCTGGCTCCACTTCTTTCAATTCAGCCAGTGACAATACTCAGTGCCCCTGGATATGGGAAGCATGGATCTGGCATCCAAACGGGAGTGATGACCCCCCCCCCCAGCATACAATACCATGTGACACTGGGGATTTTAGTGTCAGCTGCAACAGAGGACGAAACACTGGGTAAGCACTGGCAAGGCAAGTATCAATGGGACAAGGGGGCACTCTTTGACTGGGAAATGTGACGGCGTCCCATTAAATCAGTTCCTGGATCATGTAGGGAATGGCTGCGCATGGCATGGGGCCTTACATAAACAGGAAGCTGGCACATTTTCATAATGTAAGAGACTTTGTCTGGTAGGCTGTTTCCAATTAAAAAAAAAATCTAGGGGACAGCTCATCCATTGTTGGCTATTAACCCTACAACAGAAAATGTTGGGGAACCCAAAATGTTACAGGAACAGAGAGGATATCTTCCCATGGACACGTGTTTTAAGGACAACTGATTAATAGGAGGATTTCCTTCATTTTGTAGAGATTTACTCTCACTTCCTGTTCTGTTTTCATGACAGGAAGTGAAAGGAAATCTCTCCAACTGGACACTGACATCAAAAACTAAACCGGCAGGGGTTTTAACCCTTCCCTATTCTATCGAAAACTGAAAAAAAAAAATTAAAAAAATATACACACAATTTTAAGAACCATACTTGTTCATGGTACAAAATATATTTCTAACGCCCGGGCAGCATCCGGCATTGCACTTCTTGCTGTAAATATTACATTACTGTGAAACAGGTTGATTGCATGCACTCTTTGCAGACTCTTTGTCTATCTATCTATCTGAAGAAACCTGGAATTAGGCTTTAAATTTCCCCTGAGCTTAGCTTTAACACTAAAGTTAACTAAAACTTAAATATGAACAGAATATTAATATACAAATTTTAAAGCGGGACAAATGTATAAGAAAATTTGCCATGGTGGTCACTGCTATTTAGCTATTGGGGAATATTTTGTTCTCTGGACAGTCCAGCAGGTTCAGATTTTCTACATTTATCTTACATTTCCCTATTCTGTGTCATATAATTTACTGTTGGAATGCAATTCTCTATAATAAAGCAGTAGATAAACACATGTGGACTGTGCACTGTCTGTTTTGTCTATATACA